TATCTCGCATCATTACCCCCAGCCTCTGTGAAGCTGATGCTGCTGCACCACGAGTAGAATGAGCTTTAAACTGTTGTGTATCCACCCCTGCTTGACTTAACATATCACAAATCCATCTACTGACAGTAGATGAAACCACCTTCTTGTGCGGTTTTAAGTAACTCACTAAAAGTTGATTCTCTGTTCCTCGAATGACCCTGGTACATTCTAAATACCTTGTCACCGCCGTAACTGGGCAGAGACGTTTATCCTCAAATGCTTCTATCACGACCCACCTTATGTTATAATTGGGCCTACTCTGCTTAGCCAGTTTCGACGGTATGAATTTCAAAGAATTTTCAGAAATATTAAGACGTGAAATATCTATATGCACTAATGATGACACTCTACCTATTGTAACTAAGTTGAGCAATAAAACCATCTTTAGCGTCAACATTTTTAATGAGAGAGATTCCCAATCTGGGAGACTTAAAAGAAAAGACAGTACCGGTTCAATTTCCCATGTAACTAAATATTTAGGCTTAGGGGGGTTCCGATTAAAAAACCCTTTCATTAAACAACATACATCCGCATTTTGACCAATTGTACAATTATTAATTGGTTCATGATAACGCGAAATGGCAGACCTGTATACACTAATAGTTCTGTAGCTCCGACCTTGCTTTTCATACTCAACTAAAAAATCTAAAATAAAACTCAAAGGTGCTGAAACCGGAGAAATATTCCGTTGATTACACCAGCCACTCCACTTTTTCCAGGCGGACTGGTATTGTCTATGGGTGGCTCCTCTACAGCTGTCGACCATGACATCCGCAACTTCTTGTGAAAATCCCTTACTCGCATAATGTTGCCTGAGACAAGCCAGGCCGCTAAATGTAGTGTCCCGGTTAACGGATGGGCCTGATTCGAATGTGGCTGTGTTAATATCTGCCGTCCTAGAGGTAGTAATTGTGGTTGTGCTATGGCCATTTGAACTAACATTGGGTACCAAACTTGAGTCATCCATGTTGGAGCGACCACCAGAGCCTCTCCTTTGTCCACCTGCAACTTCCTTAGCACTTGTGTCGAGAGACAAAAGGGCGGAAACACATAACTTTGTTCTTTCGTCCATGCAATCGAGAATGCATCGATCGCTATAGCCCCTGGATCTGCCCTCCAGGCCACATATCGAGGCAGTTGATGGTTTATCCGGGATGCAAACAAATCCACTGTGGGATGAAACTCCAATTTCTTGCATATTAGGGAGAATATTAGTGGGTCGAGCATCCATTCCAATCTGTCGACAAATACCCTGGACTGAAAGTCCGCTACCTGATTGTCCTTCCCTGGTACATGATGTGCTGTGAGCACGATCTTCCTGTCCCTGCACCATTTCCACATTTGGAGAGCAAGTCTGGACAGGCTGTCTACGTGAGTACCCCCTTTGTGCTTGATGTAGGCAATTGCTGTCGTATTGTCTAGCCGAAGCCTTATATGACAGTTCTGCAGGTTCCTTGCAAATGCCTTCAACGCTAGAAACGAAGCTAACAATTCCTAGTGGTTTATATGATTTAAGCTTTCCTCTATGGTCCACCTTCCCCCCGTCTTTTCTCCTTTGCAATGGGCCCCCCAACCCTGCAGGGACGCATCCGTCGTGATAATCAACTGGGGGTGAGGTAACAGAATTGGTTTCCCATTCCATTGATGTAGGCAATGAGCCCACCATTTCAACTCCTGGGTACTTTCTTCGGACAGTACCACTGCACTCTGATATGAAGGATTTACCCGAATTTCCTGAATTAAAGATGTCTGTAGTGCCCTGTAAAACACTGGCGCGTGCACTACATCTTCTGCTGTGGCAGTCATTTTTCTAAGAAGACTTGCCAATGATTTTGCCGAAAGAACAGGATTTTTTTTAAACTTGTGGCACAACACTTGTAATTTTTGTACCTTTTCCTCCGGAAGACTTAATTCCATTGTTTGAGAATTGACTATGTGGCCTAGGAATCTGATTTTTTGTGTTGGAATCAGCTGAGACTTTTCCCAATTCACCAGCAGGCCTAGCTCCTGAAATAAACTCAACACAAGTTGTTTTTGATTTTGACACTCCTGCAGTGATTGACCTATTAGAAGAAGATCGTCGAGATACAAGACAATTTTCAAAGACCGCCTTCTCAGGTAAGCCGCTACCGGCTTTAGTAATTTCGTGAAGAGTCCTGGGGCCGTTCTCAACCCGAAGGGTACTACTTGGAATTCGAACAGTTGCCCTTCCCAATGAAATCTCAGGAACTTTCTGTGCTCCTTGTGGATGGGAACCATGAAGTAGGCATCCTTTAAATCTATAGAAATCATCATGTCCCCTTGTTGCACTAGGTGTTTCACCATTTGGATAGATTCCATCTTGAAATGGTTTGTTACTATATAACGGTTCAGATTTCTTAGGTTGAACACCAGTCGATACCCCCCTGAACTCTTCGGAACTAAGAAAAGTGTGGAAAGAAACTGGCCCGGACAGTCGTTTACTTTTCTGATGGCCCCTTTCCTTAACATATTTTGGATTTCCTGAGAGCATGCCTGATGCTGCTCCTTGTTCATTATAACTTGATTTGGTGGTTTCTTTTGAATTGGTTGTCGAATAAAATTGATCTTGTAACCTTTGACCATTTGCAAAATCCAGGGGTCCTGCGTTAAATTTTTCCATGCCGTTAAATAATATTGAATATTTCCCGCATAATGAGTCCCATAACAATTTTCCGAATTGGACCCTCCTGGACCTAATGTTGTCCCTTTTTTGCCTGGAAATGACTGGTATTCTTTTCGTTGCGAAAAGAATCCTGACCATAGGAGGAGTAAGA